CACAAATAGCTGTAGCAGTCTAATTAATTTCCAAAACTATTATATTTTGTTGATTCTATGATGCATATTTTCTTACATTTTAGTATCTCTAAAATTAGAATGTATCCTACTATTGATGGTGTTTTAGCATTGTATCCTATTCTAATTGGCAGTATTTTTTTCTTAATAGTACATAAATAATGTGTCATATAATTGATGGCATCTAGAAGACAAGAAATAGAAAAACTCTGATTTGGCATATCAGATACCTATCAGCTCAGTATGTGATCTGCAATTCTTTTTTACAGGTGCTTCACAAATTTTAAGTATATTATGGGAATTTTTTTCTGCCTTTCTTCAATATAACTAGCTACATTTATAACTATTGAACATTTGCACAAGTAAAAAATAAAGAAATAATCCCAAAATATGGGGAATCAATATAGTTAGCATTTATTAAGTGCTTAGTATAGGTTAAACATTGAGTTAATACTTTTCTTGCATTACCTCAGTTTCCATATCTTTAAAAGCAGTAAAATAACCTTCATAGGTTATTATGAAGATTAAAATGTGAAAAATTACATAAATAATATAATTAACCTGATGTGCTCTTTAACTAAATAAATTAAGGAAATGATTTATTAAAATTTGAGGTGACTTTCTTTCTTTAGAGCTTGAAAAAATCTGGAGGAAGTACAGCTCGTTTTTCTCCCATGACTATTGCTTAAGAAAATGCATTTTCTTAATGTGTTTCTATAAAAATTATATAATATTTATTAATGATATATTTAAGAGTTGTTTTTTTTCATTCTTATACCAGTTTTACCCATTAAGTCCCACAAAACTGAAATTATAGACCTTTCAAAATAAGGTCTCTCTTTAAATACCAACTTATACCAGAAATGTATTTTTTATTGCTATTTTGGTGTTTCTTGTATAAAATCTTATTATTTCTTCATTGCAATAACAAAGTTTTTTCTCCTTCATTTAGAAGCTTCAACATTTTCAAGAAGAAAAAAACAAGGAGATTGCAATTCTTCGTAATACCATTCGTGATTTAGAGCAGCGCCTTTCTATTGGCAAAGATTCTCACTTTAAGCGAAGACGATTTTGAGCATAGCAGTAAATTCATTAGTTGCTATTTAATTTCTTTAAAAGCAATTGAAAAATTCACTTCCATTTTCAATATAAGCATACCGCCTAAATAATAACACGCAAAAACTACAGCTTTAAACTTTTTAAAACTGAGTTTATTTAGACAAATCCATACCTTAGCCACTTATGTGCTACATTCTTAATAGTATTAGCCATAAAGGAATTCAGGTTTATAGGGTTTAGTTTACCTATGAAACCATCATTGACTATGGGAATACTTTCTAAGCAGTCTAGAGACAAACAACGTTCTTTTAACCTTTCCTTTATATCTTTCAAGACAGCCACTCAAATTTTAGAAGAGTGAGATACAATGTTAGAGAAAGAAAACAAGATACAAAGGCTTTATTCATATGTGATAGTAAAAATCAAGATATGAGTCTTAGATATAAAAAAGATAAATGAGTATTTAAAATGTAGTCATATAAGCTTTTTAGCAAATATTCGTATGTTAAGTATTTCTGGATTTTAAAATACCTTTCTTTAAGGTTTACTCAGTTAAAAATGTGAAATTAAAAGACAAAGATAATATTGTTTTGAGATAAGTAAAGAAAAAAATGGAAAGCATGTCTTTGTTGTTCTTCCTCCATTCTAAATTGCTAATTTTTCCAACAAAAACCCCTAGGTCATAGTTTATGTTTTTGTGTTCATTAATGCAAGCAGAATGCTGGAAAAAGAAAAAAAAAGACATACTAACCAAAGGCTGCAATCACCTTTCAGATGCCCCACAATAAATATATGATTTGGGTTAAAATTTCTATGATATAAAATTTAAAATTTGGGAGCTACTTCAGTAGATTTCTCCATGTTTGTACAAATCCAGTTTCTATTTTTGGTTCACGAATTAATTTGATAGTTTGTAAAAATGCTAGAAATGAAATTGTGTCTAGACTGACTGGGGGAATATATCCTATTTTAAATATTTAGTTTGAAGGTCATTTTCACTTTTTTCCTTTAATAGTTCAGCTTCAATTGGCACTGGCTTCTGGGGGCATGAGCTGCTGCTGACTTTCTTGTCAGGCAGCTGAAGACAAACGTCATTGACAAGATTCAATGACTTTCTCCTCTGCCCAAAGTCCCTGTCAGCTACATAAAGATGGGAGGTTTTCTTTACACTGTCAGGTGATTGCGGACCCTGCTTTTTCAAATATCAGATGTCGACAATGGCAGCAACAGCTACGAGGATCCAACTCTGAATCTTTGGGCAACTTGCAGAGTAATTGATTTTTACATCCCTTTTGACAGAGCTTCTTTTGTGCAAGTTGTAAACCTTCACTGCCTGGCATGTGTCAGCTCTCTGGGTTGCCCTGCCTGTGTTGACCCTTGTGCTTTCGGTGATGACGAAGGTCTAGAGGAGGGGCATGATGAGTAGGAGCATCTGGTGCTCCTGGTTGCTGATTCTCTGAAAGCTCACTGCTCCCAAGATGCCGATGCCCATGATGGTGATGATGCCTGTGGTGGTGATGGGGCTGTGGAGCTTCAGTTGTTTTTTCCACAGTAGCCAAAGATACATTTTTACAGAAGTCTTCATTTTCAAGAGTCTGGAACAAATTTACAAATCACTTATCAACAAATTTATAGATTTAGCAGGAATGCATGAAAAAGGATTTATGCAGCTAACATTTATGAAATTTCAACTACTTAATTAGGATAGAGCTGACTATGTTTTTTTAGCATCCTATTAATGAGTTAAGAGTCTGACATTGGTCACAACACCAAGACTTTTTATTAAAGGCTTAAAGAGAAAGTCAAACCATTGTATTTATACCTGCAGAAATGAAATGAAGTAAACTGTAAAACAACTTAGATTGTGGTAAAGTCAATCAAATTCTAAAATCAGTTGACCTCTATGGAATCTTTCATACCTGTGTCAACAATGCATCTAAACTAATACTAATTTCCCTCCGATAATTTAAAAATGCCAATAAATTCTGCTCAAATTTGGTAATTTTCCATATTTCAAAGATATGTTGTGAATGTCAGTGTTTCACTAATGTGTTGCAACTACAGTGCTGTCAGGTGAAAGTAGCAAATTACTGCCCGTTTCCCTTCCGTAATGTTCCATGCCACGTGATCCTAGTTCTTTAATTTACTGAAAGTCTTTTATTGTTTTGTAAACAATAAAATCACATAAATCACAGACTCCAAAGCCTAAAGATATAGCAACATAATGTTAAACCCCAACTTAAAGTTGAGTTGTAAATAAAATTACAAAATAAACTTAGAATCCAAAGACTTACTAAGTGATATGGCTTGATGTTTTGAAGATTTTAAAAGGTTATAA